AAGCACTATTCAAGGCTAAAGTGACTGTTACATAAAGTGTCTAAGCAAAAATATGTATTGTTTACAAAAATGTATTTCTGTTGGAACTCTATATGGAGGAGGAGTGAACGTCTCTGGTTCTACCTCTCCCATATACGTAACTCTATACAATGAACTCTACACAGAACTTTACACAGAACTCTATACAATGAACTCTACACAGAACTTTACATAGAACTCTACACAGAACTCTACATATAACGTTAGAACTCTACATAGAACTCTACACATAACTCTACACATAACTCTACACAGAACTCTACACAGAACTCTACACAGAACTCTATACAGAACTCTACACAGAACTCTATACAGAACTCTACATACTGTATAACTACACAGAACTCTATACAGAACTTTACATAGAACTCTATACAGAACTTTACATATAACTCTATGGAGGAGGAGAGAACGTCTCCGGTTCTACCTCTCTCAAGAACTCTATACAGAACTCTTTAACATAACCTTTTCCAGGTAAACCCTCCCACCTCTTTGTGTTTCAGTCCTCCAAGTCAACAGGGGTCACCAGAGCTGCCATGATGAAATCAGCCATGAGTTCAGGTACAACACCACACCAGTTCAACCAGTAACACCACTTTAACCAGTCTGACCCAGTTCAGTTAACCAGTCTGTCTCTCTACATGTCTGTCTGCTCACCTGTCTGTGTGTCAGAGTCTGTAGACGGAGGCAGCAGTCCAGGAAGTCGTTCCCCCGCCAATCGACCCTCCACTCCAAACAGGGACGTCAAGAAGGTAGGTCCACCTGTCTGTCTGACCACCTGTCTGACTACCTTGTTACCTGTCTGTCTGACCACCTGCCTGTCTGACCACCTGCATTTCAGACCACCTGTCTGTCTAACCACCTGTCTGACTACCTTGTTACTTGTCTGTCTGACTCCCTGTCGTGTCTGACCACCTGTCTGTCTGACCACCTGTCTTTCTGAACACCTGTCCTTCAACCTTTGTAACAGGTCTGACCACCTGTCTGACTCCCTGGTTACCTGTCTGTCTGACTTTTTACTACAGCCCACCTGATCTTTGAGGCTGATACTGATATGTGATTTTGAGTACTACTAGGTAGTACTTGTCATATACGGTAGTCTAATGCGCTTGCGCATATACTGGGGGCTATATGGGGGTTCCGAGAACTGCATGTAAAGGGAGACACACGGTGATCCATTAAAACCAGCTAAGCAAACTAAGAAGCCTCTATTGCATTGATTTACAGTACTGATATCTGAGAGTTTGAGTACTACTAGGTGGTACTGCTAACTAAGAGTTTTGAGTACTACCAGGTAGTACTGGTACAAGTGATTGTATTATATTTATTTAATGTGTTGTTTTAAATCAGTAATGTCTCGTCTTAATGTTTTTATACATTTTTTACCTGTTGCTGCTGTACTGACTGAGTCGCCAACTTAATTTCGTTGTATGTTTTTACATTGACAAACATCCTGATCCGCATGAGCATTTAGCTGGTTGCTAACAGTACTGTGCAGCTCCTCCAGAGCTAGCTTTGCGTTAGCATGTGGTGGGATGTAAACAGCTGTGATCAGGATGGCAGAAAGTTCCCTCGGCAGATAGAAAGGTCTGAATTTCACAGCCAGGTATTCTAAGTCCGGAGAGCAGTGTTTCACAATGATGTCCGTAACTGTACACCAGTCATTGTTCATGTAGATGCACAGTCCTCCACCTCTGCTCTTACCGGAGTCTGCAGTCCTGTCTCCTCTGTTAACCGTTCGACCCGCTAGCTCGATGGCTTCGTGGGGAACGGTGCTGTCCAGCCAAGTCTCTGTAATTACCATCACACTGCTGCTCATGTTGTGCGACGTAATCCTCAGCCTCATTTCGTCAGTCTTGTTGACGAGTGACCGGGAGTTTGCCAGAAAAAGACTCGGTAGAGCTGGTCGGTTGGGGTTAGCTCTTAGCCTAGCCTGCAGGCCGCTCCTCTTGCCCCGCTTCTGCCTTCTTTCCCTCCACCGCGTGCAGCGCCTCCTGGGTGGGATGAAGGTAGCGTCCCCGGGCCCTCTGTCGCAGGATCTCCGGTGGGATAGAATCCAATCTTTCAGGGATGTAGACCTTATACTGTCCTCCAATGTCAAGGAGTTCAGCTCGCCTGTAGTGTATATGAGCCTCTGGTGCATAAACAAGTACACACAAAACACACAGAACGAAAAAGCATGATGGTCTTGGGTCCAGCTACTGACACCAACAGGAAAAGGATGCAAGCCTTTAATACTACTGCATTACATTACAGTCATTTAGCAGACGCTTTTATCCAAAGTGACTTACAATAAGTGTATTCAACATCGGTATTCAAGAGAACTACTAGTCACCAGAGGTCATAAGTGCATCTCCTTTTTTAAACAAGCATCTAAGAGCATAAACCAGAGCAAAAATACAGTGCAGAAACAAACTAATACAAATACAATAAGTGCAACAAACTAATACAAATACAATAAGTGCAACAAACTAATATGAATACAGTAAGTGGTGAGTAGAAGGCTCAGGGTAGTACTTCTTGAAGAGGTGAGTCTTCAGCCTGATGAAAGATGGGCAGCGACTCTGCTGTCCTGACGTCAGTGGGGAGTTCATTCCACCAATGTGGGACCAGGACAGAAAACAGCCGTGACCGGGTCGATCGGCCGCAGGGACCTCTGAGCGACGGGGCAACCGATTGCCCCGAGGCAGCAGAGCGAAGTAGTCGGGCGGGGGTGTAGGGCTTGACCATGGCCTGGAGATAGGAAGGAGCTGTTCCTTTCACTGCCCTGTAGGCTAGCACCACAGTGTTAAACTGGATGCGAGCTCTTACAGGGAGCCAGTGGAGAGAATGGAGAAGGGAAGTTGTGTGGGAGAACCTGGGGCGATTGAACACCAGGCGAGCTGCAGCTTTCTGGACAAGCTCCAGAGGTCTGATGGCCGGGGCTCTGGCAAGTAGTGAGTTGCAGTCGTCCAGGCAGGAGATGACGAGCCTGGATTAGCACCTGCGCCATCTCATCAGTGAGGAAGGGGCGAATCCTCTTCTTTTTGGGGAAATTAGCAGGCCAGTACCACCGCCTCACCTCGCAGCTCTGGGAGTGTGAGAGAAAGACTACACATCTGACAGAACTGCGGGTGTGATGGTGTTTTCTGCTGTGATCCAGGTCTCAGTTAGAGCGAGAAAGTTGAGGGAGAGCAAGGATGCGTAGCCTGAGATTAACTCAGATTTCGGCACTGCCGACTGGCAATTCCAGAGCCCCCCTGCTACCACTTGCTCGCCATGAGCTGAGATCAGTGGGGTCACGGCACCTGGGAGTGACCGAATGTCTAAGTGACACCGGACAGAGGAACAGACAGAAATAGAATGCAAACACATGGTAGTGAATATGAACAGATTACTGAACCGCAAGTACACGCTCGAGAAGTCTTTGCTTGACGAAGTCTGGCTTGAAAAAGTCGCCCTGTTGCCTTTGTTTGCCTGACGCTTCCAGCTACCAGCAGTGGTTAAGGACAGCGATCTACTGATTGCTCATTGTCTGCCAGGAGTGGAAGCCACACCTCTGCCACTTCACAGAGCAATCACAGAGCAATTGGCCAGCTGAAACTCTAATCACACCTAGCTTACCCACACAAAGACTGCAAACAGTACTAATACTGAACCAGCCCAGGTACAGCTAAAAAAAAACTTGTTAAAGCTAGAATAATATACTTAAGTGTGACGACCCTGTCTGCCTGTGTGGCTGCTTTCCTTGCAGGTGTGGCAGAGGATCGTCAGGCAGAGTGGGGACACCTGAGGCAATTAACAACACTGGCCCTGTGTGCCAGTGCACCCTTTATAAGAACCCTCTGGATCCTCAGTTTGCCTGGCTCCTTCCTGAGACTTTCGGTTGTGGTTGTTTTCTACACTATACAACACTGCATATTCACTTTACATGCACCCACTCACACTGCTGAAATGACTGACTTCAGTTTATGTTTGTCTTTTATATTACTTTAAACTTAATAAATAATTGATTAACTGTTTCATTGAATGCATCTCCCTTTTTTGTCATGGCCGTTCGGCCCGGTTTGTGACAAGTGGGGGCTCGTCCGGGATAAATTGATTGGTTTGAGGCTGATATTTGGTTCTGTGTGTGGAGATGCATTTTTTGGCAGCAGTGAGTACATGGTCTTCTAGTGTGTTCGTTGACTTTTGTGGAGTGTCCCTGGATAGGTGAAGCAACGTGGTCCGTGTGGCTGCGTTGGTTTGTTTTTGTTGTTTGTTATTTTTGTGTGGTGTGCGGTCAGAGCAGTTGTCTCGGGGACACATCCATAGCTGTAAGGTGAGTAACCAGCTTGCTGGGGGCTTAACTGGGCTATTGGTTTAAGTGTTTAAAAAGCCTCCCGCTAATCTGCATGAAGACTAGGGTTCAGTGAGGTAGATTAGTTTGGTATAGGCAGTTTAGGTAGAGGGACTTCCACATTAGTTTGGGCGACATATCATTGTCTCTTTTACGGCACTAGTTGACCTAGAAAACACTGTCTGGTTTTGGGTGGCCTTTGACCTGGTCTATTATGGCAGGGGTAGAGGACTTTGTTGATGCTCCAGGTGAGGAGTTTCTGGATCGTTGCAGTAGAGATCAGCTCTTCAAGATTGCAGAAGAGTATGATATTGATCTAAGTGGTGTTGGTGATAAACGGCTTAAGGAAAATGTAAAGGCTATGGTTAAAAAGCAGTTGGTTGAGAGAGGGGTGCTGGTTGCTAAACAAGAGGGACTGGGTCAGTCAATAGCAGTACCGGCACTTTCAGTTCCATCGGGGAACCTTAACTTTGAGCAGCAAAAATAATTGCTTCTGTTACAGTTTTCTCATGAGAAGGAGAAACAAAGAGTGGAAGTGGATAAACAAATGGAAATTGAGCGGTTGCGGTACAAATTAGTACAGGAAAAGATAGCATTGCAGAATACGAAGTTAGGCTTAGTCAGAGATGGTAAGCTTTCTGGAGATGTTTTGCACGCAAAAAATGGTTCATCATCGCGTTCTCGCGATATTGTGAGTAATTTGCATCTCTTGCCTAAGTTTAACGAGAAGGATCCGGATGTGTTTTTCTCACTGTTTGAGCAGATTGGACAGGCAAGAAATTGGTCAGACTCTGAGCAAACCTTGCTGTTGCAGTGTGTGTTGTCAGGAAAAGCCCAGGAGGCATATGCAGCTTTAGATAATGATCTAACTTATAAATCAGTCAGGGATGCTGTACTGAAGGCGTACGAGTTGGTCCCTGAAGCATATCGCCAGCGTTTTAGGATGTTGGAAAAAAGGTTCAACCAGTCTCATGTGGAGTTTGCGAGGGAGCTGACAAATAATTTCAATCGTTGGTGTATGTCTTCTGATGCTAATGATTTTGAAAGTTTGTGTAATCTGGTCGTCTTGGAACAATTTAAGAACACTCTGCCCAGTCGTGTTGCCACATATCTTACTGAGCGTAAGGTTACAACTGCCAACCAGGCTGCTGGGTTGGCTGATGAGTATGTGCTCAGTCATAAAAGCCGGCTGGGTGAGCATGTGTTGCAGAATGATGGAGGTGTTAAGTCATCTGTTCACTTGGGGGGTTTTCCAGGTAGGGCGCCTCGTGGAGCACCTGAAATGGGAGAAAATACGTGCCATTACTGCCGTGAGGCAGGCCACTAGAAACAGGACTGCCCAATGCTTAGGGATAGGAGGCAGCAGGCTGGAGGTGGGCGGCTAAAACCTTCTGCACTGGTTGTAAGCGTTCCTGGTCCTGTGGGAGTGTGGCAAGGTGGGCATGCAGAATGTGACGTGGTTGGTGGCCCCGATGAGTGCTATCGGCCTTTTGTCTCCGAATGGTTTATAACACAGACTGGTAGTGACATTAAGGTGCCCGTTAAGATTTTGAGGGATACGGGTGCTGTTAACTCCTATGTTCGAGACTCCATTTTGTCATTTTCAGATGAGACGGATACAGGGGATAAACTCCTGATGCGAGGAATGGGGTTGAGGGTGTTGCCTGTTCCGGTGCACATGCTGAATCTAGACTGTGGCTTGGTGCAGGGCAGAGTTCCTATTGGGGTGAGACCAGCGTTACCAGTGGAAGGGATTGACATCATTTTGGGCAACGACCTGGCTGGCAGTCGTGTGTGGGCAGATGTACCTCCTCCTCCGATAGACACTCCCTTTCCTTCAGCCTCAGAACAGCCTGATGAGAGTGCTGTAAACTTCCCCGAAGTTTTTCCTGTATGTGCGGTTACTCGATCGATAAGTCTTGCTGAATCAAAGGAGGTAGATGGGGAGGTGGAGGAAAATTTGCCGTGTTTACCTGATTTTCATTTGTCTCTGTCTCATAGTGATCTGCAGAATGAACAGAGAGCAGATCCAGCCTTGGAGGAGTTGTTTGGATCAGTGCTGTCAGTTGGTGAGGCGAAACATGTTTCCAGGGGCTACCTTCTTCAAGATGGTATTTTGGTGAGGAAGTGGGTGCCCCATGGTGAGGATTTTGTTGGGAATCCCATTTTTCAAGTTGTCATTCCAGCCAAGCTTCATGGTCATGTGTTAAGACTTGCTCATGATGGATCAGGGCATTTGGGTGTCCGGAAAACCTATGACCGGATATTACGCCATTTCTTCTGGCCACGAATGAAAAGGGATGTTTCTATGCATATTAAAACATGTAGTACGTGTCAGCTGACTGGTAAGCCAAATCAGGTCATTAAACCAGCTCCACTGGAGCAGATTCCAGCTATCAGTCAGCCGTTTGAGTACCTAATCATTGATTGTGTGGGGCCGCTGCCCCGTGCGAAGTCTGGTAGCCAGTATTTACTGACTGTTAAATACTGTGTCAAAGCACCAGGTACCCGGCAGCGTATCCTTTGCGAACAATAACTGCAAAATCTGTGGTTAAGGCCTTGACACAATTCATAACTGTGTTTGGCATCCCTAGAGTCATACAAAGTGACCAGGGATCAAATTTTTCTTCTCACCTGATGGCCGAAGTGTTAAAACTGCTAGGTATCAGACATAACCAGTCGTCTGCTTATCACGCAGAGTCAAGGCGCTTTGGAGCGGTTTCACCAAACACTCAAGTCTCTTTTGCGCTCATATTGCACTGAGCTAGATGGAGACTGGGAAGATGGGCTACCATGGTTGCTGTTAGCTGCACGGGAGTTTGTACAGGAAAGTACAGGGTTTAGCCCAAATGATCTAGTGTTTGGCCACACTGTCCGGGGCCCATTGTCTGTGTTTAAGGATGGTTGGAAGGAGTCAGATCCGCCCACTAACCTTATTGATTATGTGAATGGGTTTAGACATCGACTTTATTCTGCAGGGGAGTTGGCAAAGGAAATGTTGGCCGCATCACAAGCTAAAATGAAGAAGAGGTATGATCTCCAGGCTGAGATACGTGAGTTTAGTGCCGGTGATCGAGTTTTGGCCCTTTGTCCGGTGGTGACTTCACCGTTCCAGGCCCAAGTTTTCTGGTCCGTTTACAGTGGTCAAACGCATCTCAGACAAGAATTATTTGGTTTCAACTCGTGGTCGCAGGAAACCTATTAAATTGTTCCATGTGAACTTGCTGAAACCCTATTATGCTCACTCTTCTAGTGCACCTGGTGATGTCCAGCAGGAACCAATGGTTGTTGTCTGGTCGGCTGAAAAATTCAGGGACCCTCTTGAGGTTAAAAGGGTTGTTCAGCCATTTGCCAGAAGCACAGGCTGAGGAATTGGAAGAGCTGATTTTGAAGTATCCAGATTTGTTTGGTGACGTACCGTCCCGTACTAACTGGGTTGAGCACGACATCGAGGTAGGGGATGCGCAGCCTATCCGTCAGCATTTTTATAGAGTTTCTCCTGAGAAGCGTAAATATTTGGATGGTGAGGTAAAATATATGATTGACAATGACATTGCGGTGCCTTCATCATCAAGCTGGGCTTCTCCATGTTTGTTGGTGCCTAAAAGTGACAAGACACCCAGGTTCTGCTTAGATTTTCGAAAGGTCAACAGGGTGACAAAGCCAGATTCCTTTCCATTGCCTCGTATGGATGATTGCATAGACCAGGTGGGGGCAGCAAAGTATGTCAGCAAATTTGATCTGCTGAAGGGTTACTGGCAGGTGCCCTTGTCCAAAAGAGCACAGGAAGTGGCAGCTTTTATCACTCCATCTGGGCTGTATTCATATAAAGTGATGCCATTCGGGTTGAGAAATGCACCGGCCACGTTTCAACGGCTGATGAATCGTGTGGTGGCTGGCCTGGCCGGTTGTGCAGTTTACCTGGATGATTTGGTGATCTATAGTGATTCGTGGTATTCGCACATGCAGCGGATTAGAGCACTGTTTGACCGGTTGGCAGAGGCAAAGCTTACCGTAAATCTAGCAAAGTGTGAGTTTGCTTGTGCAACAGTGACTTACCTTGGTCGGGTGGTCGGACAGGGGCAGGTGGTTTTTTAACATTGCTAAAAGCCTCCTGGCACTGTGTTGACCACACAAATTGAACCTTGGCCTTCAGCAAGTCAGTAAGCGGTGCCACAACAGAAGAAAACCATGTCCACACTACTCTGTTTACGTTTGGAAACACATATGTTTTGCTACATTTACACTGAGCGGCCACACTACGCCAGAGTTTTGGAGCACCCTAAGCGAAGGAGTTTGAAAATACTCCCGAGGTTGGAAGAGTTTGAAAACTCCGGGGTTGCATTTGCGTGTGGACGGTCGGAAACGGATGTGTTTAGAAAAAATGACGCCTACACCCGTGTTCGCTACTTGATTGGTTCTTAGCAGCCATGACGTCTCCTTCCCTGATTCGTCACACTCACTATCACGTGACCCGTACCCGGAAGAAAACAAACTGGGCTACCAGTGATTCATTTCAACATGGATAATGAATTTCAAGCATTGCTTGCTTTGTTGTCTGTACTAGCAGCTTTTGTGCAGTAAAAGTCTGTATTTCTGTGGAGGAAGCAGCTGTTATTGGAGCGATTAGCGAGTAGCGTGACCAGCGGCGTCATCAGCCCTATGGAGCGGCCGTCTGAAGCCACAGTTAGCAGTAAATGCTATTCAGAGCTACGAGTGAGAACAGACAACAACAACACGGAGGAAACCAGTGAGAGACGTGTGTTGACCACATTTATGGACCCATAATCTAGTAAACGTTTACGTGTAAGTGTTGATTTTAAAGTAAATTTGATATGTGTGAGAGAGAGAGAGATAGAGAAAGACCCGCAGCGCTGTAACTAAGTCTGAAAAATAAAACTTCTAAAACTTTCCACGAACTGTCTGTTTGAGTTTATAGAGGGAGATTTTAGAGGAAGATCTTAAGTATCAAACACAACCTTTCATTATTAAAGACTACTTTATTACTCTGTCGTATTTTTTTAAACTAGGCAACCAATCTACTTCCTGTTTACACCGTCACGCGCATGCCCGGTGTACGTTAATGGTCACGTGCTGTCCGTCTTCGAAGGCTGCCGTGTGGATGCAGATCAATTCGAAAATGATGCTGAAACGCCCGTGTGGACGGAGATCATTTCTATTTGAAAAATCTGCTTCCAAATAGAAACGGAGTAGTGTGGCTGTAGCATGAGTCTATTCTAGGTGAGTCTAGTAGTTACTACTAATACTAGAGTACTAATACTAATACTAAAGTACTACTAGTACACCATTAGCATTCCTCCAGTAAATTCCACTTCAATGAAAATAACTAGTTTTACAAAAATGTAAATTTCAAGATTTTAACTGCAGAATCTTTCTTACTGGTTAAACTGGTTGTGGTCTGGTGGTCATGTAGGTGGCGGTGGTCCGAACCCCCCCCCAGGTCTCCGGTCTCTGCTCGAGGACGGACGCCCCCCCTTCCGTCTCACCCCATGCCCGATCTCAGCAACGTGAGGTCAAAGATCGGATCTACGGAGAACCTCAAACACACTCCTGGGGGGGGCAAGGTAACACACACACACACGTTTAACAGTTTTACTTGAGAAAAGACAGACGGCTACTGACTCCTGTCTGTCTGTAGGTTCAGATTCCTCATAAGAAGTTGAATCTTACTAGCGTGTCATCAAAGTGCGGCTCCAAAGACAACATCTGCCACAAACCAGGTAACACACACACACATATGAGAGTTTGAGTACTACCAGGTAGTAGGCCTACTGATATCTACATACACGCTCAGGTGACTCTATACTATTCACTCTGTATATGTATATTTTTAGTAGTAGATAAGCAGTTTTATATTGATATATTGTACTATTGTGTATATAGTGTGTGTATAAATACTGTGTATATTGTGCACTATGTTGTACAGTATGATATAATGATGTGGTACTCTATGATATAATGATGTACTTGTATGATATATTGATGTACTCCTGTGTGTTGTCAGGTGGAGGGAAGGTGGATTTTAAAACCGTTCAGTCTAAAGTTGGTTCTCTGGAGAACATCACTCATGTGCCGGGAGGAGGGAAGAAGAAGGTACATGCTAACAACACACTGACAAACCACCACCAACATGCTAAAAGTCTGCTAACAGCATGCTAACAACACGCTAACAGCATGCTAACAACACGCTGACAAACCACCACCAACATGCTAAAAGTCTGCTAACAGCATGCTAACAACACGCTAACAGCATGCTAACAACACGCTGACAAAACACCAACAACATGCTAAAGCCTGCTAACAGCATGCTAACAATACTCTAATAGAACACCAACATGCTAAAACCTGCTAACAGCATGCTAACAATACTCTAATAAAACACCAACAACATGCTAAAACCTGCTAACAGCATGCTAACAACATGCTGACAAAACACCAACAGCCTGCTAACAGCATGCTAATACCACGCTAACAGCATGCCAAAAACACGCTGACAAAATGCAAATAACATACTAATAAAATGCTGACATAATACGTGACCCAAGTGTAATATATATATATATAATTTATGGGCGTACAGAATCTCTTATACAAATCCCAGAAGCTGATTGGCTCATTTACATGACGTCCAAACGAGAATAGCTGCTGAAATTGATCTCATATTTCATTAAGCACGTTTTTTCTATGGTTGGCTACATCTCTATCTATATTTACACCTTTACTATTATACACTTCATATCTCTATTTAATATATTTACATATTACACTTTATCTTTTACACTGTTTTACTAAACATTCCATCTAATTATCTTTCTACACGATATTTTCTTATATCATGATACAAATCAGTGTTCATCAAGTAACATTTTTACAGAGCAGATGTCAGATGTGACAGTATTTGTATTGACTGACAGATTGAGAGTCAGAAACTGAGCTTCAGAGAGGGCGCCAAAGCTCGAACCGACCACGGTGCTGACATCATCGTGCAGCCTGACTCCTCCCCCCAAAGCCTTAACGCTGCTCAGGCTCCGCCGCTCGACACCCTGGCCGACCAGGTGAGAGATTTACCTGTTTACACCAAAAAAAGCACAGACAAACACACACACACATTAATGAACAACCTCCTCTTCCTGTCAGGTGTCCGCCTCCCTCGCCAAACAAGGCCTGTGATTGGATGACCTTGTGCCTTCAGACCCCGCCCCTTCTGTTACCAAGGAAACTACCTGATGAAAGAAAGAAAGAAAGAAAAGAAAAATCATCATTCTCCCTTTTTCCTCATGACCTTCATCTGATATTAGACAGTCAGGTTTGGAGAGATTTTATTATTAGTGATGTTGTGTTCACACCAAACACTAAGTTTGTTTATTTGTTTCCTCCATGTAGACACACAACAAACAAACTCTTACTGCTGTAAATGTAAAAGATGTGGAGTCATTGGTTCATTACATCAACGCTGTATCTCGTGAGTGTGTCGGCTGGTTCACCACGTTGGAATGAACCCAAATGAAGAGATTTTGCTGTGATTTAATTGTAATAAACAAATAAAAAAGAGGCCTAAATAACCACATACTGATACCAATTTGTAAAAGGTCTAAAGTCTTTGGTTTACACACGTACATTTATACATTAAAAGTCTGTTGAGACGTTTAATAAGTTGCTCTGCAACACATTTCTCAGCAATTTTGGAAACGGCAGGGAGAATACCGATTGGCTGATAATTAGAGACATCGGTTGAATCTCCTGACTGAAAAATGGGTGTTACTGTGGCTGATTTCCATCCTTTCGGAAACACGCATTGCCTGAGAGATTTGTTGACGATGCTTGTGAGCGAGTGTGCCTTTGTTTCTTTAGAAAAATATTGTCAATTCCATAAACATCTTTGGCCCCAGAGTTCTTGAGTGAGCCTAGAACTCTGGTGACAGTAGATTCAGAGACATCCTGATTAGAGAAGCACGGTTGACCTTCATTTACTGGTGTACGATCAAATTGACCAATACTCGGTGGTGTACAGTAACGAAGTAGAAATACTTCGTTACTGTACTTAACTCGTTTTTTTGGATATCTGTACTTTACTTTACTATTTATATTTCTGTTGACTTTTACTTCTCTACATTTTGCAAAGAAAACTGATACTTTTACTCCGATACATTTCCCCTGAAACCTTCGTTACTCGCTACAAAATCAAATCTATCTTTAGAAACAAAATGAATCATGAGACCAACGTCGGGGACTGTGGTGGAACACAGACTGCAAGCAAGCAGGTTTGGTGAATCAGTGGTCCTAGCTTGCAAGTTAAATCATTGGTTAATCACGTTAACGCGCAATTGCAAACAAGTGCTCTCAAAGCCGCGGTGTTTTGATTCCCAGTGATGCCCAGGATGCCATATGCTATAGCTAGCGAGACTACATGAGCAGAATTCCACTCTACGATGACTGATTTCATGACGGAAGCAGAAATGGAAGCACCTGCTACTCCCGCAACAAACTACGGTGGTGACGAAGACCAACACCCGAGGATCGCTAGCGAGTTAGTGAGCTGAGGAAGTGTTGACAGTTGTGAGATTTTGTTGATTTGAGTCATCTTAGCTATAATCATTGCAGCACTAGTTGGCTAACGTTAGCTAACTTAACGTTAGCTAGCCACCACACCATAGGATTGACAGGAGCCGCGAGAGCGCAGCATTTGTGTTAGCATTAGGGAAATCCTTCCCAGCTGTGAGTAAGCTGTGCGCAAGCTGAACACACCTCTACCTGCCTCAGCGGCCTGTGAAAGGCTATTTAGCATCGTAGGACTAGTCTTCAGCCCAAGAAGAGCGAGACGGAATTCTCGCAATTTTGAAAACCAACTTCTTTTGAAGATGAACAGGACATTTTTCAGGTTCAAGTAATGACTGGGTTGTTACTTTCGATGCTGCTTTAGTATTGATCATGTTTTGATATTTGAGTCATTTTGTGGATGATCAGATGGAGTTATGATGGTAGCAGTCGCCCAATTGCAGATTCAGCTTGAGCAAAACCTTTGCCTGTTGTGTTCAAATCAGGCCCATAGGAGTTTACAAGGCAGGCGTCCTTTCTCACAACACTGACCTGATGCATCAAGTGGATATTTGTTGCTGAACACAATATGATGCATTTTCCCTCTACATCCTCTAGTCGGAATGAGCATACTTATAAACGCACTGTTGCAACTCCTTCATAGTGTCATATTGCTTTTCGGAGAATTATGATAAGTTCATAGTAGATGCAAAAGTATACTTATGTACAATATATTATGTTGAACATTGTTGCTCCTGGATGGATCACAGCCAACCCAATTATGTTCAACACAGCTCCATGTCCTTGGTCATGGTGCCACAGCACTTAAAAGAATAAACTTCATAATTCTCATAATTCTGACCCTTTGCTTTTTTATTAACAGCATTTACTTGTACTTTTACTTTCAATACTTCAGTACATTTAATATCAGAAAATTACTTTTGATACTTAAGTACAATAAATATCAGATACTTTAAGACTTTTACTCAGTTTTCTTAGTTGGGGCTGGCTCAGGTTTATAGTTAGGACTGGTTCAGGTTTATAGTTAGGACTGGTTCAGGTTTATAGTTGGGACTGGTTCAGGTTTATAGTTAGGACTGGTTCAGGTTTATAGTTAGGACTGGTTCAGGTTTATAGTTAGGGCTGGTTCAGGTTTATAGTTAGGGCTGGTTCAGGTTTA